ATTGTTTTATCAAAATGAGTGTTCTGTTCGGGCAACGTACCGCGTGCTTCGGCCATTTCACGGTCACGATAATCGTCGAGAGGACTATTCGCAAGAACCAGGACTTTCGCAGACCACAACTTGGCGAATTTTGCGTCGTGACTTGAGCCTGCACCCGTATAAAATTCAAATGATCCAGGAACTGAAAGTAATTGACCGTTAGCCGGCTACTCACTACGCGGGACTTGCCAAGTACTTAGCAAGTAGCGAGTAGTGTGTATGGCGACTTGTGCTGACTTGTCGAGTTACTTGGACTTCCCATCGGTTGTCGGAAAACGGACCCTAGTCAAAGACGCCAAGTCGATTACTTCCGAGTTTGCTTTGTCAGCGCTACACTACGCGGACTTTACTTGGCGAGTTGCTGCGAGCGGTGTTGTTGTTTTGAATAATAAAAAGTTATTTGTTGTGTTGTCTTGACTTAAAAAAGTTATATTTATTTCAAAATGGCGTGGAGCAATGATGCCACACTTACTTTTCTGGATATTTATCAAAAGGAACCAGTTATTTGGNTGTATTAATAATAATGAATATTATACTTTACCTTTATTAAGTCTTGAAGTTCTTTCAATATGGCTGTACATACTTCAGGTACAATAACAGATATTACTTGTGGATAAATTTTAAACAAGTAATGCAAACTTTTGTAGCTATCCCCAGATGCCAAAAAATGTAGAGTTAGAGCGAGACGCTCTTTTGCAGGCATTGCTCTTCTAAATTGTGTATCTTTTTTTTGCAATATATGGTCTAATTTTATTAGGCGAATTTTTAAAATCTTCAAACAAAAATTATGGAACAATCCTGAAGGCTCTTTCTGCAAATCAGGCAACATATCTATTCCACGGTATCTGTTAATCAAATTAAATTAAAACTTTATCATCATTGTATTTTGAATTTTCATATTAGAACATGCTCATCCTGCATAGAATGTTGTACGCACCTCGGGCAAAAACAGCTTTAACGCCCTTCGACGTATAACAGCCCTTGGCTACGCCTCAGTCTGTTATCTTCACACCACTAAAAGCTGTACTTTTTGTCCTAGATGCATAAATAACTATCATACATACCTTTCTTCACTATTATTCAAAGATGACACCCACCATCTTCTGGGTTTGCGCTTCTTTCTTCTATTTTGGAGTAAAAGATAACCACAACTTAAAATAACAAATAAAATAAAAATTTAACTTGCACTTCCCGATTCTTTCAAGTAGGCTAGTAATGTGTACAGTTTTAACTTGGATTTTGCCAAGTATATCCTAAGTCAAGTAACTCGGCAAGTCCCGCGTAATGACTAGCCGGCTGTAGACAACGACGTGGGTTCGCCGAATGAGCTCTAATGCAGTTGGCAACGGACCCTAATTTTCATCGAAAAATCATCTTCAGCGATGAGGCCAATTTCTGGATGAATGAGTACGCAAACAAACAAAATTGTCGAATTTGGGACGATATCAACCCACATGAAATCCAAGAGCGTCCAATGCATTTCAAAAAAGTCACTAGTTGGTGTGGATTTTGGGCTGGCGGCGTCATCGGTCCATATTTCTCTGAGACCGACGTTGGCCGGGTCATCACTGTCAAGGGCGAGTACTGTATATCGATGATTACCAACTACTTTTGGCCAGAATTAGATGATCTGGATACCAACGACATGTAGTTTCGAGTGTGAACTGGTGACCAAGATCGTGCGATTCGACCCTGTTAGACATTTTTCTGTGGGGTTTCCTCAAGTAGCAAGTATATGCGAATCGGCATTTGAAAGCTTGAGATATTCTGCATTTCTTGTATTTCTTTGGATATAGTATTCTTGCCTACCACTTGATTTATACAATAACCTTCTTGAAAGCATAATCGTGTATGTTGAGTTTCATGACGTAGACAGATACATTTTTGAAGATTTGAACCGTTGCCTCTTAGCAACGGTTCAAATCGAACTCTGCAGTTCCTACAGAGGCAGGAGAGGCAGCTTAGGTAATAAGACCAAAACAGGTAGTAGAGCAAAAACAGGTAGTGGCAGCAACGTAGGTAAAGGGAAACATCCATCCCTATAAATTGAGACACAGAGTTCGAAGTAATCAGTCTGGTTGAAAAAACCAGACATCACCAGAAGATGGCAAATGAGACTTTGCCGAAACGTTGTGAAAATAATCCTTATGGATTATCAATACACAGAACACGGAGCGAAACCCGA